TTTTAACTCTTGATATGAAAAATAAATATTTTCGTCCAAGTAGGTTAATTTAAGTTTTTCTGCGTGTGTAATTAGATAATTTTTTATATTTGGATAACAATATATTTTATTTATTGCTATAAATATTTTCGTAATAACTATTGCAAATATTTGCTCCAACCTACTGGAAAAATTCGTAGTAGTTCGTAACAAATATTTTTCTCGTTAAAAAGAAATCTTCGGGACAAAAGACGTTCTTTTCAATGGACATGGACTTTCAGGAAACATTCTATAAAGACAAAACGCGTGTAGGACTTTTTCTTTTTAAAAAAAATATAAACAATCGCAGTAACAAGAAAAAATTACAATTCTAAATGACTGACGAAGGGAAAATGATCATTTATTTGCACGAACATGGAGCTTTTAGATATAGTTGTTGGGAGGAAGTGAAGCCATTCATGTAGGTCGAACAAATGAATGACTTTACTCCCTGTCACCGCAGTTATCTGAAATCGCAATACGTTTGTGCGCTTCTTTGGAATAAAAAGAAAAAAAGCGTATCGTAAGTAACACGGGACTAAAGTCAGTCTAATTTATTTACGTGGATTTTTTGCAGCCCTCGACCTTCACACGTGCTAGAAACATCAACGTAAACTAATGACTGCCTTTGGCCTTTTGACATTTCCTCCATCGCTTGGAAGGAGATAAGTATTTCTATGCGCCTGAGATTTTTCCAGGGGGAGACGTTCCTTTTTTTAATTCCGTCAAGTTCGCTACTTCTGTTCAATAGTTCAGCGAATTCAATCAAATCAGAGAAAACTATATATTAGCAAATTTTAATCAGTCCACAACAGTTCGATTTGTAGTTAGATTTTTGTTATTCGGAGTTCAAAGAACCGCCATCAGATTAAAAATTAAAAAAATATTAAATTAAATTAAAAATTTTTTTACAAAGATAACGTACATATGTATTTGAAGTCAGAACTGCAAAATTCAAAATGGAAATCCAATATGGCATTTGGTCTTTTTAAAAATCAACTTGTTCGTTTGATAATTGAATAGATTTTCTAACCTAAAAGTTAGTGAAAAAATAGCCGCCATGTTGGATCTGCCATTTTGAATTTTTGAAAACTGACATCATTTTCGTAATCAGCGACCCCAAAAACCCCCGAGTAACAAGTTTCAAGTAAATCTGATAATTTTTTAGAAATTCGTCCGCCATATTGAATCCGCCATTTTGAATTTTTGAAAACTGACATCATATTCGTAATCAGCGACCCCAAAAACCCCCCAGTAACAAGTTTCAAGTGAATCTGATAATTTTCTTGAAATTCGTCCGCCATATTGGATCCGCCATTTTGAATTTTTAAAAACTAATATCATATTCGTAATCAGCGACCCCAAAAACTCCCGAGTAACAAGTTTCAAGTGAATCTGATAATTTTTTAGAAATTCGTCCGCCATATTGGATCCGACATTTTGAATTTTTGAAAACTGACATCATTTTCGTAATCAGCGACCCCAAAAACCCCCGAGTAACAAGTTTCAAGTGAATCTGATAATTTTTTAGAAATTCGTCCGCCATATTGAATCCGCCATTTTGAATGTTCGTTTGATAATTGACTAGATTTTCTAACCTAAAAGGTAGTTTATTTACTTTCATAAATATAAGAAATTAACTTTAAGAATTGAAGTCTTAAGGCTCACTTAAGCCTCAAAAATTGTTTGCAGCTGAACCTCGTCTAAGACTTCAGACTGAACAAAGATTTAAGGCTCGCTTAAAGCTCATGATTTGTTTTAAGCTAAAAATTCGTCTAAGACTTTTAAGAGTCATTTTAGGCTTAAGACTTGTTTGAAGCTGAAAACTTGTCTAAGAATTTTAAGACTCGCTTAAGGCTTAAGGCTCACTTTAGGATTAAGGCTTATTTAAAGCTAAAAGGTCGTCTAAAATATAAGATTTGCCTCAGATTATTAAGACTCGTTTTAGGCTCAAGATTTGTTTGAAGCTAAAAATGCGACTAAGATAATATAAGATTGGCCTAAGTCATTTGAGGTTCATTTAAGGCTCAAGGCTCACTTTAGGCTCAAGACTTGTTTGAAGCTGAAAAATCGTCTAAGGCTTAAAACTCGTTAATGCTAGAAGCTTACTAAAATCTCAAAAAACTCCTGAGCCTCTTGAGCGAGTCCTAAGCCTTAGACGAATATTTAGTTTTAGTCGCGTTTTTAGCTTTAAAGAATGTTCAGCCTTAAGTGAGTCTTAAGTCTCAAGCGAGCCTCATCTCTTAGTTCATTCTTAAGTCTTAGACGAGATTTAAGCTTCAAACAAGCTTTGAGCCTAAATTGAGCCTTAAGCCTTAAACGAGTCTTAAAAGTCTTAATTCAGTCTTAAGTGTTAGACGAGTTGTTAGCTTCAAACAAGTCCTGAGCTTTAAGTGAGCCTTGAGCCTTAAGCAAGCCTTGAAGTAGCCTTAAGGGAGCTTTGAGGTAGTCAACATTTTTTACGCATGAATCTTTCGTTTTAGATGAGTTTTTAGCTTCAAACAATTTTCGAACCTTAGGTGTGCCTTGATCTTTAAGTGAGCCTTAACGTCTAAGTTTAGTCTTAAGTCCCCGCGTAAAAGAATTTTGGCTGCCTCAAGGCTACCTCAATGCTACCTCAAAGACTGAACTAAGACTTAAGGCTTGCTCAAGGCTCAAGGCTTGTTTGAAGCTAAAAACTCGTCTAAGACTTTAAATTGAACTAAGGCGAAAGGCTCACTTAAAGCCCAAGACTTCTTTGAAGCTTAAAATTCGTCTAAGACTTTAAACTGAACTATAACATAAGGCTCGCTAAAGGCTCTAAGGTCTAAGACTTAAGACTTGATTAAGGCTCAAAGCTCAAGACTTATTGTCTAAAGCTAAAAAGTCATCTAAAATTTAAAACTTAACTAAAACATAAGGCTCACTAAAGGCTCAAGGCACAATGATGGGCAAAGAGCCATCATTTTTAACTGAAGCTTAAAATCTTAGATCAATCTTAAGTCTTAAAAGAGCTTTTTTGTTAAAATAACGCTTGAGCCTTAAAGGCCTTGAGACTGAAGCGAGTCTTAAAAATCATAGTTCAGTCTTAAGTCTTAGACGAGTTTTAAGCTGCAAACAAGTCTTAAGCTTTAAGTGAGCCTTATGTCTAAGATAAGTCCTAAGACTTTGACGAGTTTAGCATTAAATAAGCCTTGAACTTTAAGTGAGCCTTGAGCCTTGAGCTAGCCTTATGTATAAATTTAGTTTTTAGCTTTTCTAGAATTTTTAGCTTTAAACAAGTCTTGAGTTTCAAGTGAGCCTTAAACCTTGAGCTTTAAGCGAGCCTAATGTTCAAGTTAAGTCTTAAGTTTTAGACGAGATTTAGCTTCAAACAAGTCTTGAGCCTTTAGCAAGCCTTATATTTTAGTTCAGTCTAAAGTCTTAGAAGAGTTTTAAGTTTCAAACAAGTAAAACCTTGAGCCTTATGTCTTAGTTTAATTTAAAGTCTTAGATGAGTTTATGGCTTCAAACAAGCCTTGAGCCTTAAAAGTCTTAAGTCTTAGACGAGTTTTTAGCTTCAAACAAAATCTTGAGCCTGAAGTGAGCCTTGAGCGAGAATTATGTCTCAGTTCAATCTTGAGTCTAAAACGAGTTTTTAGCTTCAAGACAATTTTGAGCCTAAAATGAGCTTTGCTCCTTAAGTGAATCTTAAAATTCTTATGCCAATCTTATGTCTTAAACGAATTTTTAGCTTCAAACAAGTCTTGAGCTGTTTTTAAATCAACAAAATTTTCAAAGCAGTCAATGCTGAATTCGCGCAATGAATTTTAAGTATGATTTAACATTGTAGCAGACAGTGCTGAATTAAAAAGTGATGTTAAATTAAGATTTACAGTGAAGCATTAATTTGTTTTAGGTTTCGGGCTTAGATATATTTATAATTCCTAAATTAATAATTTTCCCAATGCGATCATAATCGTACAACATAAATTTCAGTTTGGTACCTTATTAGGCTATTAGAAGCCTTATTAAAACTGAATTACTCTCTAAATCGAAATCAAAAGAATTTCAATGATTCCGAACGATAAGTATGCCGCATGCACTTATTGCAATCAATGTGTACAGTACGTATATGACACACTTCTTGAATTCAAATATTTAGATGAGGACGCGAATATCCAGAATCTCTTCTGTAGTATAATTATCCCTTTGATGTCCAATTTAAAATCATCAACTTCGGCTAAAAAGCAGAGAATATAATTACCAGACGGTATTAATGCTGAAAGAGCATTAGGACTTTTTTTTTTATTATTACAACATCGTTTGCTCCTTCTCGACTGACATTAATGGATCAGTATCGAACCCTATTTCTTCCAAGCACCAGTAACTTTTTCAACTATTAGATAAAAATGAAATTATTTCGTAATATTAAACTTCACTTCCTTATCACTTTTAGCGACTTCCGCTAAAATCCTGATGTTTATATTTATTTAATTTTTAAAAATTATAATATGCCCTGGAATCTTTGGAAAATAATAGATGAAATATTCTTCTTGAAGGTAAATTATACGGAAGGAAGCAAAGCCAGGGAGTTGACAATAAAATTCTCTAGAAAGAAGAAAAAAGAAAAAGAAAAAGAAGAAGAAGAAGAAGAAGAAGAGGGGAAAAAAAGCAAAGGAAAAGAGCAGTGTAGTGAAAAAAAAGGAAGATAAGTTTTAAAGGAAAGAGAAAGAGGGAAGGCTTTAAGTGAAAGAGAGAAAAACGGTAAAATGTCACTGTTCCCTAATTATACGGAGTAACTAGCCTGCAATTCCAAAGCAAAGAGGATGCACGGAAACGTTTAAGTTCCACAAGATTCACTGTGTATAGGAGTCGAGAGCACCTTGACTTTTCTCTCTCTCTTAAGGTACCGCTATCCTAGCAGCCAATTGCGTCACAGCATAGAGCAGAAGAGACCACTCCGAACTCTTCTTTAAAGTCCCTATCGCCGGATACCACTACCAAGCTTGGTTTATAAAGTCAGGACATTCCGCGGCCTCGAAGACAGAGCCGTGTCGACAACCTAGCCATCAGGACGTTTTTCAAAACCGAGAAGTGTACGTGTGGTCGGGTTCGCGGTGCGAGTTGGTTGTTTCTTCTTGTTTCTTTTTTTCGAAAAAACATCACCATATTTCTTTACTTGTATTTCTCATTGTTCATTCATTCAATTTTTTTAAATTCCTTTTTTCGACCGCTAATATCGTGATTACGGGAAAAAATAGTATTTAGTAAAATTTTTCAAAAACTTTTTAGTGGCTTTGTGATTACGATTTTCAAAGGTGAACTTTTGAACCCGGTTGTACCATTTGACTCGGAAAGGTACGTGTGCTCAAAATTTGTGTTCTTCTGGATCTAACAAGAATGTGTTTTTAATGAAAAATTTACAAAAAATGTGTTTTCTACTATATTGTTTGGGTTAAATGGGGGAAAAAAATGGTGCTTTTTGTTACTAATTGGAGAATTTAGATAAAAGCTTCAAGTTCTTATTTTACTTCTTCAAATATGATTTTTCCTCTTCTGTTCACTGCTCTAAAGTATTTACTATTGCAAATTATTTGTCACTGTGATTTCAAATTATAAATTGTTTGCCACAAGTATTTCAATTGAAAATTATTTCTTTATGTAAAGTATTTACTATCGCAAATTATTTGTCAAGTGTAAATTATTTCCTTGAAGGTACCAAGCTACCGAATTAACACCAAAGTATATGAATCAAGTTAATACCAAAAATTTCCTTTCGAATTATTATTTGATCCGCATTTTTTGGTATCAACTGGTTGCAATTTGATACTTTTAAGTTAACAGTATAACTATTGTGAATAATTTACTAAAATAAATTATTTGCCAAATAATTTAACTGTAAATAATTTACTAAAATAAATTATTTGACACTGTAAATAATTTACTAAAATAAATTATTTGACACTAAATAATTTACTAAAATAAATTATTTACCATTGTAAATAATTTACTGAAATAAAGTATAAATAAAAATTTACATCATTTTAATCATGAATGGTAATCGAAAGTAATCAAAGGAAGACAATAAGATTCCACTGATTAAAATAGGGTTTTATTAATGGCCTAGCGAATTTTTCTGTGTACAGTTTTAATGTTGTTTAACGAGTAAAAACGACCCTACAACAGAGAAATTACACCCAATGTTTTACTGTGCAATTAAATTGAGGCGAGTTCTGCGTACAGCAACTAAAAATCAGGACTAAAGTTAAAAGTTCTTCTAAATTTTTTATAAAAATGTTTAAAGTAGTTTTTTTAGTAGTTTCATAATTATATACACTGAAAGAATAAAATTTATTTGATTCAAATAATCGATTAATTGACTATTATCAATTTAAATATTTGTTTGAATCAAATAATATTTATAGAAAGTCAATTAAATGGCATTTGAACCAATAATTTCATCAGTAGTTGAAGCAAATATGAAGTAAACCATTTAATTGACTCAAATAAATATTATTTGATTCAAATAAATATTTAATTAATAATAGTCAATTAATCGGTTATTTGAATCAAATAAATTTTTTTTACAAATTGAGTAAAAAGTGCATTTTTCTTAATTTTAGTATTTTTTATATCAAAATTTCGCTTTGTAGCACTTTTTCCCCAATTTGTAAAATACTTATAGAAAATTTAATACATAAATTCTTACTCTGTGTACAAAATTTTCTTTATGAAAATTTAAAACCCATTTTTTTTAATTTTCAAAAAGTTATTGTTTGAAATTTGATACAAAGCGAATGAAAGTTCAAAAAAATTGCTGTCTATGACTTAAAACATTTTTGCTTAAAATTCCAAACAGTTTTGTTTGGAATTTCAAAAATTATTTTTTTTAAATTTAAAAAGTTTTCAAATTAAAATTTTGAAGTTTTGAAATTTTTTTAAATTTTTGAGTTTCTTTAGAAATTTAACATTAATATTTAAAATTTAGTTTTGAACAAAGTATAAAGCATTTTTATTTAAAAACTTAAACGGATTTTTGAAAATTCAATCAAAAAATTATGAAAAAAGAATTATATAATTATTAATTATAATTTATTTTAATAATTCCAATTTAATATCAATGTTATATTTCATACTTTTCTATTTAATACTTTAAATTTCTTATTATACAAATTTTATTAATTTAACAAAAAATTGTAGATATTTTTAATCACAATTACAATTATAATTGTAACTAAAATAATTAATAACTGTTAATTATAATTAAAATAATTAATTATACTTAATAAAAATTAATTATTATTAATTATAGTTAAATATTATTAATTGTAGTTAATTATTATTAATCAAATTTTTTTGAAAAAATTCAATTTTTTTTTAATGCAATTTTAATAAAATGGCATGAAATAATTCAATTTTTTTAAAATGTTTAATATTTTTCATAAAAATTCAATTATTTCCTAAAATTTAATTAAATCCTTCGAATGAATTGATTTTTTTTTAATTTTTAATATTTTTTGAAAACTTTGATTATTTTTAAAAAATTTAATAAATCCTTCAAAAAAATTGAATTTTTTTTAAATTTTTAAAAAAATGTTTCGAGAGAATCCAATTATTTGCTAAAATTTTAGTAAATCCATTGCAAAAATTACATTATTTTTTATAAATAACAATATTCTTGTCAAGAATTCAATTATTTTTATAAATATAGAAAATTTTATTTCAAAAATTCCATTATTTTCAACAAAATTTTATACGAAAGAATTCAATTATTTTTTACCATTTTGAAGAATTCTTTGAAAAATTCAATTATTTTTTTAAATAGTAAATTCCTTGCAAAAATTCAAATATTTTCAATTAAATTTCATGAAAGAATGCATTTTTTTTGTAAATTCTTTATAAAATTTTTCAAAAAAATTCAATTATTTCCTAAGATGTTTGTAAATCCTTAGAAACAATTTAATTATTTTTTTAAATAGTAAAATTTTAGCAAAAAATTCAAATATTTTAAATTGACTTTCATGGAAGAATTCAATTTTTTTTTCTTAATTCGTTATAAAATTTTTCAAAAGAATTCAATTATTTTTTATAAAATTTTTCGAAAGAATCCAATTATTTTTTTTTATAAAATTTTATTAAATTCTTCGAAACAATTCAATTATTTTTTAAATAGTAAATTTTTTTGCAAAAATTCAATTATTTCCAAATAAAATTCCACGAAGGAATTCAATTCCTTTCTGAAATCGTTATAAAATTTTTCAAAGAATTCAATTATTTTTAATACAATTTTAATAAAATTGTATAAAAGAATTCCCTTCATTAATTTCATGTGGACAAAATAAATAAAATAATAAGTAATAATACAAAATAAAATTCCAATAACAAATTATTAAAAATTTCTGTTTAAAATTTTAATTAATTTTTATAAATTTATAAATTCTTAAAATATTTTCAAAATTTTGTTTAATATTTTTTATATTTATTTAATTATTTAATGTATTTTTTAATTTATTTAAAATTTATGTAATTTAATTTAAATTAATTTAATTATTTAATATTTAAAAAAATAATTTCTCTTTATAAAATTAGTCGAAACGGTCCTTAATAATATTTATTTATACTTATAGACGCGACAAGCATTTCCCCTTCTTCTTTCGTGAATAAAAACAAAAAAAAATTGTTTATTTTTGCTCTTATTGGTAATTATCCGAAAACGGTTTATTCTCATTGTCTTAACAACTAAATCAAGAATAATTGTTTTTTACAATCTTTACAAATTTATAAATATATATAAAAAAAAGAGTGAGATTTTATTTTTAACTCCTTCGCCAGTCTTCATTTTTCTTATATACCATCAGCAAAAAGCATATCTTCTCCGATGAACTTGAGGAACAAAAAATTAATAGTAAACTCGATTGCTATTTCTTTATTCAGTTGTGCGGCTATTTTCTCAATTATTTTCAAAACCAATTGAAAACGGAGATTGATCTCAAACTGATCTTGAAAGAAAAAAGAAAAGAGAATAAAAAATATAAATCCGCAGATATTCCTTTGAATTAATAAATCGGTTTGAAATATAATTTTTTAAATTGAAAAATCAAAATATTTATCAAAACGTTTTTTTTTATTTTGTATTTATATTTAGTTTAGTAATATTCAACTCTCCCCAATTTTACGGAATATTCCATTAACATTTCTGGAATATCCCAAAGGAATATTCCTTACACAATTTAGGAATATTCCAAAAGAATATTCCTTACTCAGTTTAAGAATATTCCACTGGAATATTGAAAATATTCCATACACATTTTAGAAATATTCCATTGGAACATTGAAAATATTCCATATAAATTTTCGCCACATCTATTTAGAAAATCTTTAAAATAATATAGGATATTACACAAGAAATATTGTTGCAATATTCCATTGGAATATTCCCGTAATTTTCCTGCAATATTCCAATGAGATATTCCGACATCATTTTAAAGAAAAATTCCAGGGATCGGACATTATAATATTCCTACGATGTGAATGGAATATTTCCTTGGAATATTCTTCGATATTCCTGTAATATTCCAATGAAATATTCTGATGTAATTTTTAAAGTTGGTAAATATTCCTACATTATTCTAAAGGAATATTCCTATATTATTCTAAAAAAAATATTCTAAATGTCATACATTTTAATAATTCTAAAATATTGATGGAATATTCCAGGAATATGAATGGAATATTCCAACAATGCTTCGGAGGAATATTCCTACATTATCTCAAAGAAATATTCTGAATGTCCTAGATTTAAATAATCTAAAAATGTGACTGGAATATTCGAGGAATTTAAATGTAATATTCTCACAAAATATTTTAATGGAATATTCCTATATTATTCTAAAAAATATTTTAATTGTCAGACTCTTTAATAATTTTGAAACATTTATGAAATATTCCAGGAATGTGAATGAAATATTCCAAGAATGTAAATGTAATATTTTTAAAAATATTTTTATGGAATATTCCCACATTATTCTAAAGTAATATTCCTACATTATACTGAAGAAATATTTTCCTATATTATTTTAAAGGAATATTCCTATATTATTCTAAAGGAATATTCTAAATGTCATACATTCTAATAATTCTAAAATATATATGGAATATTCCAGAAATGTGAATGGAATATTTCAACAATACTTTGGTTGAATATTCTTACATTATTTCTAAGGAATATTCTAAATGTCGTACATTTAAATAATTAAAAAATGTGTCTGGAATATTCCAGGAATGTGACTAATATTTTCACAAATATTTTGATGGAATATTCTTATATTTCTCTAAAGGAATATTAATATGATATTCTA